GGGAAGCTGGACTGCTTCGAGGTATCGTGCAGAGGCTTGCTTGCTCGGGCTGTAGGACCACGCAGATCTCACCTGACCCGAGGAGGAGGAGGCGAGCCTTGGAGCCAAGCAGCTCCAGGACGGCATGCAGGAGCTGTGCCGCAGTCTCTTCGGTGAGATTCGCGTCAAAGCAACGGAGCTCCAGAATGAACATAGCGCCATTCTCAGCAGGATGGAGGGCAAGAAGGCGAAGACTAAACGAGGGAGGCACGGCCGCGGGCCACCGCCGTGGAGGCGGTGGGCCAGGCTGCGAGCGCTGCTGCTGACCGCGCGCCTGTTCCCGAGCCTCCCGCTCCGGGCGCAGGCGCGGTCAGCGCATCCTGGGCCAGAAACCAAACGAGGGCCTGAGCATATACCACGAATTCCGGCTTGGGCGTTTGCGCGGTGTACGCCACGGCCCCCGATGGGCCGTAAGCGCAACATGGAGGGCCGCAGGTGGGGTGGTCTCGTTTGGTTTGGGTTTTTCATGTTGGTCGGCATCCTCCCAATCCAATGTCAGGGCCAGAGCCAGTAGGCAAGGGGGCAGAAGCGGCTGCGGCTGGAGGCTCGTCCGCCCCCCTTCAGCAGTGCGCGTGGTCCGTCATTGGGTCAGCAGGGCCATCCGTGCGAATTGAAGAATGGGGCCGTGGGCATGGGTCGGGTCCCGCTTGTTCCCGAAGTGTTGTGCAACCCAAGCCCAGGTGTTGACATGTCAACGTTCCGCGCTCCTGCTTTCCCCACTCGCCCAAGAAGGCTCCCTGCACAAAGCCACACAAGCCCTCGGTCGAAACGAGAAAGGCCGGCTGTTGGGCCGCTTTGGAGTTGTGACTGCCGTAGTCCGCGGCCACCGTCATCCTGCTTCGGGAGCACAGCTCGTCCACCGACGACGCTCTATCCGTCACCACCTCCTGGGCCGAGCGGAATGGCTGGACGGCGTGCCTCGCTCCCGCCCAGCAGACCTGAGGGCAACTCGTCATCGGGAGGCATCGGGGTCCTCGTTCGCGGTTGCTTGGGTTTTTTTCCGGGCAACGACTACGCGTCATCAACTTGTACGGGCCTCTGGGAGTACGGGTGCACCTTGCACGAGACCCTCGTACGATTTGCTGCTATAGGGCTTGCCACCATTACTGCCAGGAGATGTCGGGAAACAACGTAGATATGCTGGGGGACGCTGCCTCGCTCGTGAAGGCCATCGGGGCGGCTTCCGTGGTAGGGATATGTTTGCTAAGTCAGGGGGGGGAGGGCAACCATCTCCGCGGTCAGATTCCCTTCCCTGAGGGAGCCGTCTGCACTTGTTCTTCGACGGGCGGTGCCGAGATGTACGACTGTTGTTCGTGATAGGCGGAGGCCTCGAGAAGGGCCGTGCAGAGCACCTCCATCCAGCACACCTCGTGCGCTTCCCTATCACGCCCCAGAGCAAGCTGTTGAGATAAGCTGGCCACCTCAACAAGTGTCGCGTTCCGACGCCCGCCCCCAAACCCTGTCAAGAAGAGCAGTAGGCCTGCCAGTGCACCGCCGTCGCAGCGGAGCGGTATCCAGCAAGGCGCTGCTGAGCTTGCAGCAGCAGTTGACTGCGGCGATGCGAAGGCAGCACAGGCAGAGCCAAAAACGCTAGCACTTCGGAGAAGGAGCTGGCCTCGTCTCGCCATACCGGTAAACCATTCACTGGGTCCAGGGGCAAGATGCCCTGGGTCCGGCTCCTACGCGACGGCACGCCGAGTAAAGCTGAAGCCCCCGTGCACGCGACGCGGTGGCTTGCCAGAAAGTTTCACCGTCTGCTCCAGCTGGCCGCCGTGAACACCTCTAGCAGTCCGAGCTGAGAGTGGACGTGGGGGCCCAACGGTCGACCCCATGGATGATTCCCGGGTCTCGTCGGACCTATTGTTTGAGCCGTTCATGGATCATTTTTTTCCAGTTACTGGTCGACCCTGCCCTCGCCGATGCATTCCTGAAGTGCGTCTCCGTGTTGATGAGCAGGCATTCCCCAGACTTCTCAGTTGATCAGAGGAGCGCAGCACGATTCAAGTCGGGCAGGCTGATTCTTTCCTCGCGCATCATTGTTCGAAATAGGAACGCCATCATAAGGTTTCTCAACAGCACCACCTTCCGCCACGCGACATGATCCACATCGATTAGAATCATGCTGGTTAGAAGGATGAGGAGGAGGAGGAGGAGGAGGAGGAGGAGGAGGAGAAGGAGAAGGGGGAGGAGGGGGATGAGGGGGAAGGAGGGGAGCGAGCACCGCCGAAGGATTGGCATGCTGCTCCTTCTTCCTCCTCTGAGAATCTGCGTTGTCCAGAAAAAGTAGGCTTCCGAATGCCAGGCCACAACGCTTGCCAGGACATGGCCGATGAGACTAGGGGTGCGCCCGCGCTTCGAATAACTGCTTGCCTTGGCCGAACCACTGTCTCTCTCCCCCTCTCGGAGTCGGAGTCCGCCAGGCGTGCGATGTTGTAGGAGGCTGCGGACGTCGAGCCCGAGCCGCCGCAGGACACCATCCCGATGGACCCCCTCCCGCACCTGGAGCCCGAGGCCCCCAGGCAAACAAGCCGCTCCTGTGCCCCCCAGGCTGCGGTTTCGGTAGACGGCTTCCACATGAAACGTTGTGATTGCCTGGGTGCTCGGTCCCTCAGGGTCCTGAGCATCGCCTTTGATTGTGATGGAGAGATCTGGAATGGTTCCCCACCAACTCCAGGCTATCCTGACCGCCCTCTTGCGCCAGCCCGCTCGGGGGTTCCGTCCGGTGGACGTGTGGTGCGTCCGGATATCGCATGTGGGGGCGTTGTCACCGGGGTATTGCATCCGTCTGGGAATACGAATTACAACGACCGTGCTTTGCGGGTAGCATCTTCGCCTTCGCCAACTGATGTGGCCTGGCGACAGACGTATAGGTGCGAGGCGGCCACTAGTGCTGGCAACACGGCTGCGACGCTCTCATGGGATCGATACAAACATTACATGACTTGCAGCCTGTATGAATGCGGCGGACAGGGTCCTCCATCGCCTGTGGTTCTGCCGATCATGCCAGGAAGCCAGAGATGGGGTTATGTGTAAGTTCTCTGCTAGGCGGTTACCAAAACTATCTGAGGTAGACTTCACGGACCTCGACGACCTCCTCCAGTTCACCAGAGGCATATTCGAGCAACCTGGCGACACCTTCCCTCGCCTAGTCAGCGAAGCCGCGATCAGCGTCGTCTGGCCCCAGCGAGACGCTTGCACGGAGTTGAGTGTCAGCGGTGACTTGTTCGCCAACGAGAGCTGTTTTCGGAGTGCGCTCCAGGAGCTCTCGGAGTGGGTGGGCCTACAGTCATAATTGTCAATAAGGATGTACGAGAAGGATGCAAGCCCCTTGGATGCCCATGTCGAAGCGGTTCGACCGGGGCTGGCCTTTGAAAGTGGTCATGATGGACCACTGAGGCAAGAACGGAAGGGTACCCTTGCGAAGGCGACCCGTCCTTGACATCGGCTTCGACTGGACAGCGCCCATGATTCGGACCACGAGGTCATTTGCCACGACAGCGCTTCTCTCTCGGGCCCTCCCCCGCAGACCCCTCAGACTCACCCCTCGAGGACTCGATCCTGGAGGATCCAGGCTCCGAGGCTCGAGGATCTGAGGATCGAGGACCGAGGATCGAGGACGACCGAGGATCGAGGCCTCTGCCCAGCTTGGGGCCCGATCCTCGGAAAGATCGAAGATCACCTCCTCCTCCTCCTCCTCCTCCTCCTCCTCCTCCTCCTTCTCCCTCCTCCTCCTCCTCCTCCTCCTCCTTCCTTCCTCCTTCTCCTCCTCCCCCCACTCCTCCCCCACCCGGTGGGTCGCACCGCATTCGCCGATGCATCGGCGATTCATCGGCTTCTTTGAACGAACTGCCATACGCCAGGGTGGGCAAAAGACAATGCCAGCCTAATCCCCAAGGGCACCTAACTTCGCGCTTCGCGCTGCGCAACGCGAGAGAGCGCGAAAATGACTCCGCGCTCAGGAGGAACGGAACCTCGCAAAGCGCGATGCGCGAATGACGTCGCACCATGGAGGGCGCCCTTGGAATCTCATCGCTCTGCGGGAGCGGCTGCGAGTCGTCCGCCTCTCCGTTCTTGCAGCGGGCTGCGTCGGGGCGGACGAGAAAGATCCGTCCCCGGGCTGCGCCGCAAGGCCGAGGCATCGGCTTAGTTCTGTCGGCGGCGAGCGAGAGGGGGGGAAGTGGGGAAGGAGAGGGCCTCTTCGAAGGCGGCGGGACTTCTCAGAAGCCCTCGCGACTTCTGAGAAGGTTACTGTGCCTTCGGGGAAGGTTCTGCAGAAAAACGTCTCAGAAACCCTGGGGCAGGGCTTCCGAATCTTCCGGGAAGGCCCGCCCCTTCTCAATTCCCCCCCGGGCTCGCCGCCGAATCCGGGAGGCCTGGAACCAACAGTTCTCTCCTGACCCCTGCCAGACCTCTGAAGAGAAGACATGGTCTCTGCAAGGCAGATTATCCCAAGATCTTAGCCCTCTTTCCCCAGGGGCAATGTTCCATCCCATACGCTTCTTGGACGGCGTTGAGGCCCGAAGCTGGCAAACTGCCGTCACGATCACGTGCGAGACGCTGAACGCACGGGTTCAGGGGAAAAAAGTCATCCCTCCTGGCCCTGTCCACGACTGCGTTCTGACCAGAGTTTTGAGGGGAATCCACTCGCGGCGGCGAGAAGTCTCCCAAAGGGCCCTCCCCACCCATACAGCCAACCCGCATAATAAGCATGGGCACCCTTCCCAAGGGTACCCTTGCATCCTTGCCTCCTCGGTCCATCCTTGGCCACTTTCGTTGGCCGCGTCCAGCTCGAAAAGCTTCGCAATGGCCTTCCAGGGCCCTTGCATCCTCATCTCGCATCCTTACTATACGGGTTGACTGTACAAAGCAACAAAGAAACGGCACCTGGTCAGGATCTCCCGTCCAGACTCTCTTCTCGGAAAGCCACAGCTCTGGGCCGACCCTGCCCCCGGCGCGGGCGCCTGGACCACCACGGGCGCGTCGCCCAGCGCCTCGCCCGTCGGGCTGGGGGGGCGCGGGAAGCAGCGGCCGCCAGACGGCGCCAACGCCATTCAAGCGCCCGGCGTGCTCAGACGCCCGGAACGGTCGAGAAAGTCGGGACAGCCCGTCCATCACCTGTTCGGACCCTCTGGAAGCCCGCCCCGGGCCGTGGAATGTCAGAAAACGACCTCGGGAAAAACCAGCCCCTTGTGAGGGGGTCGAGAGGCCACAGGGCCCGCGTCGGATGCATGCGCCGCGCGCCCGAAGGATAGGAACGAGGCCCCAAGCTGAACCCTCACTGCTCGAAACCCTTAGCGCTTGCTTGGGGATTGGCTTCTGCGATGAACCTCGATATCGTGACCACTTCTGAAAGTTAAGGCGACCCAACTGTCCAACGCGATGTGATAATGCCACCAGCCCTCTGGGCGTAAGTAGTCTAAATAATTTTCTATTGAAACCCCCTTCTTCCCCTTCGACGAAAGAATATCACTGTTCCCTTTTTAAACTAATAAGAATAACCCCAGGCGACCGGCAGCCAACCAGGAACGATGAGCACACCATGCTCCCCCCCACCATCCCTGCCAAAAAACATAATATTGAATCATGTTCGTGAGGCCCGCGAACACTTTGAATTTGTTTTGACGAAGACGTAGGGGGTGTCAGCATTTTGTCAGTTGTGCGCCGGGCAACCATTCCTATCTAAAAACAATACAAAAATGAACTTCGCGGATAAATCTGGATCGTGCGCAGCCACCCCGCGATGCTGAGGATGAGGTTGAAGGTGTTTGGCTGGTGATGCCTGTGACGCTGGCCTTTGTGGTGATGAGGATGATGATGATGATGATGATGATGATGATGATGAGAATGCTGCGGATGATGATTCTGCTGAGGATGATGATGACGGTGGCAATGCTGATGATGTTTTTTGGGAGGGACGGCGGGGGTGGAGGCGTATCGCTTGCTGTGCGCAGGCCCACCAAACACAATGATGGGCATTGGTTCTCGACAGCAATGGCGGGGGCCGACATGTTTCCCGATGTGCGCCGTGGCCTGCGCAGGCGCAACTGATACACTCTGCACTTGCCCCGAACGTGGCGCACCTGGCGCAGTTGGAGTATGCAGCAGACCTGGCGCACGTAGAGCACGTGGCGCATCTGGTGCACCAGACGTGCCTGGCACGCTAGGGCCAAGCGTCGCGCACATGGGACCGGATTTGGTTCCCAGTAGCTGTCCATCCAAAGACCAGCGCTGAACATGCTGAGACTCGGATGTTACTTATGTGTTGGGATGGCAGGCGGGAGTGAGCTAGACGGCTTGCTATCTACGAGGGTGTCTTGACCCCTCCCCCTTACCCCCTCCCCTGGACATGGGGGGGTGGGTCGCAGGTCGTTGAAACGTCCAAGATGGCCCAAGATGGCTCCAGGAAGGCCTCAAAGAGCCCAAGATGACTTCCAAGATGGCCCAAGATAGCCCAAGATGTCTCACGATGGTCCCCAAGATGCTCCGGAGAGGCCCCAAGACCGCTCCAAGACGGCTCCGAGTGGCCACGGAGCCTCTCCAAGAGACCACCAGAAGGCCAAAATCCCCCCCCAAGAGACGTCCAAGAGACCTCCAAGAGACTCCCAAGAGACCCCCAAGAGGCCCCAAGAGCGCCCAAGCGTTTTCCAGAAACTTTCCAAGAGGGGCCCTTCCTGTGTTGCCCACTTCCCTGGTCGAGGCAACTCCTCTGGGCATCGTCTCTGGATGGGCTGGTGGGGTTACTTTTTGGTCGGCGGCCGCGCGACTACGGTCTGGTGGCAACAAGCGTGCCCGGGACGGCGGAACAGGCTAATTCCACACAGGGTGCGGTGCACGTGCACTGAGCAAAATGCTCCGCATTCGCCGCGACGCACCTAGGCGCCGCCCGGGCCAAAAGAACGAGCGCGCAGAGGTGCAGGCGCAGCGGCACGTCGCCCTTGCGGCGCCAAGCTCCGAGCAACACCCCAGACAAACAACTGGCACCAGCCCGGAGAACCGGCTGCTGGGGGTGGAAAACTGGCTGGCGGCGCTGAAGGCTGGACCACTCAGCGCGCAGCCAGCGAACACCACTACAGAGCTGTGAGGCCGGCGGCGGCCAACGGACGAGTCGGCACCGGCGAGGGGCAAGCGCGCCGAGAAGCACGGGCGAGGCGCCACACTGGCAAGGCAAACCGCCACAGTCACCTTCACCTCGGTGGACACCGCCGCCCTTCCGAAGTCACAGGGCCGACCGGCTGCGGGAGGGCCCCTGCGGCCCGCAGGGCGCGACTGGCGCGGAGAAGGGGGGGCGCAGCTAACCGCCGCAAGAGATACGTAACTGGATGGCAGCTGCACGCCGAAGGCGTAAACACGCGCGGGGGGGTGCAGCTAACCACCGCACGAGTCACGTAGAAAGACGGGGGGGCGGCAGAACGGTGCTGGAGCTGTCCGGGCTGGAGCGCGCCAGCGCCGGAAGCGCTACTAGAAGGGCCATGTTGCGCAGCATTGCGCAACACAGCTGGAGGGGCACCTGTCAATGCACCGGCTGAGCGGCGAGCAGGGAGGCGACTATTTCAGGCGACAGACCCCTGCAACCGGCAGCGGGCGGCTGTCCGGTGAACAGCAAAGGAAGGTGCGCTAAGGGGGGGCCTCTACGGCCGGCTTCTGGCTGGTGGGGTTACTTTTGCGATCTGCGGCTCCAAGGACGATTCCAGAGAGCGGGTAGTATCCAGACTGGTGGGGTTACGCGAAGCGCCAAGAATTTCTGGGGGCTTGCTGCGTCGCACTGTTCCCTCAGGGCCCAATCCCTCAGGGCCCCGCCTTTGAGCTGCCGACCCGGGGGGGGGGGGGGGGGGGGGGGCAGATCGGGGCGAGGGCGGCCCCCTGAATGGCGCCGGAGGCCGAAGCGGGCCAGCGTTCTGGGGGCGCGCGGCGGGAGACGAGACGGCGATGCAATAATCGTACTTCCAGGAGGAACGCCGAGCAAGAAACGAAGGGGTTTGTCTGGCAACGGCGAGCCTGGGCCACTAACAGGTTCCCCGACCTGGGCCTGAGGAGCAGCCCGAAAACCAGAGCCCCTCCTGAGCTCAAGGCGGACCGTATCTCAGCGGCTGCATAGGCCGCGCGCGCGCAAGGTTGGGCGGGGCGGGGGCAGGTCGAGGAAGCGGTCCTGCGAGGGGCGCCAAGCGGCCTCGGAACGCCGAGACGCGCCGGCGACCTCCGGGCGCCCAGCCAGAACGGCGCCACGCTCTGGGCAGGGGCGCGCACGACGCGAACTCGAGTCGAACTTGAGTCTCGGGGGCGGCCATGAGGGGGGTCCAAGAGGGGGGGTGCAAACCATGGCCAGCGGCGCGCGCGCGGCCCAAGGTGGAATGAGAGAAGGCGCCACGGAATCTGGGGAAATATCACGGCCCTCGCCATAATATCCACCACCACCTCCAAGCCATCACCCCCGCGTTGGCCGCCCCCGAGAGGGTCGGACACCTAACGGGCACGCCGGGGAGGGGGCGGCCCTCGGACGGGCGCGGCGGGCGGCAACGAAAAGCTAGAGCGCGCCAGCGACCTCCGGAGCGAGGGGCGCCGCTGGCCCACGCGCGCAGGGCCCCCGCGCAGTGCGTCGCGGAGGGCCGCCCCCTTCTCGCCCATACATAGGGGAAAATGCTTCCTTGAATTGCGCGCAGTCGCCTGGGAATATTCCGGGACTTGAAAGCTCGCGGGACGGGACTTGCCGTGGGGGCGGGACTTGGCCCCGACCTAATTTTACAGACGGGACTTGGAGAATCCTGATTTGGCTCATTAATATTGGTAAGCTCCCGCGGGACGACCAAGTCCCGACCCGCCCCGACAGCGCGTCTTCGCTAGGATTGCAAGGGGGGGTGGGGGGAGCTGACATCAGCATGATCATCAGCATCTTGATCCTGATCTTCCCCCATCATCATGGCAGCAACCCTCACGGCCACGATCTTCCCGAAAGTGATCGCCATCACTGTCACAATTTGGGTCGTCGTCATCGCGTCGAGGCTCGCCGGCGCCGTCGCCATGGACGCGATAGAGACGGCCGCCGCTGACCTCGGGTACTATATCACCATTGCCGAGCACATGAGCGCGCGTCACCAGACGCGGGCAAAGGCCCCCTGCCCTGCGCGACGCGCATCTGAACAATTCGAAGAACTTTACTTTCACCGCAGTATGCTGCGACGCACAGTGACCACGCACCCACACCAACAGGGACGCCGAAAGGAAGAGGACGGGAGAGGATCAAGGCGCGGAGAAGAAAAAGAAGAGGGAAATGGACGGAGGACGCAGTCGGGGAGGCGAAGAAGACAAGGGGAGAGGGCCAGCCGACGGGGGAGAATCAGAGAGAGGAGAAACGAAAAGGCTGCCTCAATCATCCAGCCTTTCCCTTCTCCTTCTCCTCCTCCTCATCATCATCATCACCATCCCCCCCCCCTCAAAAACCTCGAAAACCTAACAAAGTAGTGCCCTGACACTCCATGAGCACCGAACATCTACAACAGAGATTCCAAGCAGTTCGACAGGGGGGCCTCCAGCATTGGGGAAAGACGCCAGAGGGAAGGAGGGCCCCAGCCTGAACGTTGAGCCTGGCACGGCACCACGGAGGAGCTTCAACCTCTCGGATGACCGCTTCGGATTCGCGCAGGGCTGCAACAGCTTATCGGCCTTCACCGACGCCATGCCCCACACACACACACACAGCGCGCAAAACATGAGCGGAGCGTCGGACTCGACCAGCCTTGCCCAACGCAACTCATGCCCCACACCGCCACCCCACCTTTGTAGCGAGGCAACCTGGTAGTTGAAGAGCGCACCCTGAAGACGATGTTCCTGCAAGAAAACGATGCCCCCCGTCGCGGTCTGGACAAGCTCCGTGACACTGGGCATCTTCGGCCGATTACTCGTACAATCCAAGCTAACTTGTGCCTCTCCAACCTAACTGGAGCCGTTGAATGTAGCGAATCGCACCGTCTTGGCAGACCTCAGGCCAGGCGTCTGCGCAGTAACTGGAGCCGGCGGAGTGGCTGTAGCAACATATGCCTGCAATCCATCCCCTCGTGGCTACCCTCGTTCATGAGGGGCCCTGCACCTAGCGATTCCGCCAATACCGAGTCCTCCCAGTGTCCTCCCCCCCCCGAGTGATCGCCCCTCCAAGCGTTCTGCTCGACAGGGTGACGGCTGGGTGCTTCGAGGCACTGGCAGTCTCCACTTTCTCAGGGTAGGAGAGTGCAGCCCCAAGCAAAATACGCGACGACGTGGACATCGGACTTGGTGTAGTACCTGCATGTCTGTGAACCCCTCGTGGCAATTCGTTTGCGTGCGAGGCGCTCCTCCAGCGATCCTGCAAACACCGAGTCGACCCAATGCCCCTCCACTGTGAGTGATCTTCCCTCCAGCGGGTTTATACACAGCGCGGTGGCGGCTGGGTGCTGCGAGGTGAAGGCAGTCTCCGCTTTCTCAGGAACGGAGAGCGCGGCCTCGCAGCTGGAAAACGACGACGGCAACGGTCCTGTCGCCCTCGAACTTGCCCTCTGGCATGTAGGCGACATGATCGACGCAGACCTCACACCGTGCTGTCCAGCAGTGGCGACGTTGACTCCCAAGGTTGCCAAACCAACGCGGCTTGACTGGACGGGAGGTCCCCAATTGCGTTCTGACTCCTAGCTAAGCACATTCCAAGCTTTGTTGCCCGCCAGAGACGGAGTCCCTTCCTCTAGGTTGACGACCTCGTGAGTCGGACCGATCACGCGGTGGCGTCCTGGATTGGTGCCTGGGGCTGGGTCGTGGGCCTCGTCCGCGAGCCCGTTGGGTAGCCTGCTCCCTGATATTGGCAGCAACACTGGCGCGCAACTCATCATTGATCCCGGCTGCCGTGCACGCCTCCACCAAGTCTCTATGTCCGACCTCCATGAGTCCAGGTACTGCCCGAAACTCAGCGGCTGGGTCTGGTACGCGGTGTCGCTCTCCAGCCTGTTGTCGCGGACCTTCTTCGACTCCCGTATCTGGTAACAACGTCCTGCTTGCGCTGACCACCCCCGTGTACTGAGCCTGCAATTGACCTCTGCCGTAGTGTTGCTGAAGGCTAGCCAACGTCCTCTGCAACTCATCCAACTGCTTGGCCACCGCACCGAGATCTGGAAGCTGAGGTGTCACCCCAATCCGAGCTTTAGCAGCCCGACGGGATTCCTCTGCAGCCTGATTCTCCTCAGCGATGACGGCCTCCATTTCCGTCTGGACCGACAATGTTGCCATGTAGTCCACTCACTCGTTGTGCTCCTTCTCCAGGCGCTCGATGTTCCTGTTGCGTTTAGCTTCTTCCTGCTCTGCACGAAAGAGCAGTTGACTGGGCGGGATCGACTGTTTCTTTTCCTTTTGGGCGGCGTTCCATGCAGCATTGATCCTTTCCTTGGCGGCAGGCGGGAACACATCCTTGAACTTTCCGTTTGGGCCAACAAGCTGCACGAGACGATGGAGCTCATCGAGGGCCCCTCCTCCTTCGGATCTCCCTGAGGTGGCCCCACTTGGTGCGTTGGCGCTTAAACCACCCGTAGGACTCCCCCATGCCCCACTTGGGCCCACACTGTGCCACGGCGCTGGCCGCGGGGCGGGTTGGACCATAGGTAGGGCAGCCTTGCAATGATAACAAAAACGAAAGTGATGAGGGTCTTCTTGCAACCACACGCTGTGCAGATGATCTGCCCACTCGCTCCCCCATCACGGCCGTAGACTCCGCTGCGCATCCCCCGCGGAACTTGGGATATGAAAGCTTTGGCACAAGGGGTGCCCCTCCCGCGTAAACTTGGCTGAACCCCTCGAGCGAGGTTGGGAAGCTAAGGATGGCTTTAACCCCACCCTTGAGCCAAAATGGCTACGGTCCTCCTCCTCCTCCTCCTCGTCCTGCTCCTGCTCCTGCTCCTCCTCCTCCTCCTCCTCCTCCTCCTCCTCCTTCACCTCCTCCTCCTCCTCCTCCTCCTCCTCCTCCTCCTCCTCCTCCTCCTCCTCCACCTCCTCCTCTCCTCCTCCACCTCCTCTCCTCCCTCCTCCTCCTCCTCCTCCTCCTCCTTCCTCCTCCTCCTCCTCCTCCTCCTCTCCTCCCTCCTCTCCTCCTCCTCCTCTCCTCCTCCCTCTCCTCCTCCTCCTCCTCCTCCTCCTCCTCCTCCTCCTCCTCCCCCTCATCCGGTTAGCGTCCAAAAGAAGTGTCTGGAACACGCGCCAAACCGCCCACACGTCAACACATGGTCCTCCTCCTGCTCCTCCGCCTCCGCCGCCTGCTCCTCCGCTCTCGCTGCCGCCGCCCCCCCGACCCGCCGCGCCCCCCCCTCCTGGCAGTGCGCTACCAGCCGGCAGCACAGGGAAAACTCGCGCAGGTTGAGTTCCGACCTCCCGACGGGCGGGCACGGCCTCTTTCCCTTCCCCCCCCCCGCTCGGCACCGCCTGGCGTCTCGCCCGGCCCCTGCCCCTTCCCGCCACCCCCTGCTCAGCACCGCCTGGCGGCTCGCCCGCTTAGTTTCTCTTTCTGGACGCCTCCGAGGAGGAGGGAGTGAGGGAAGGAGGGAGGAAGGAGGGGGAAGGAGTGAGGAGCAGGAGGAGGAGGAGGAGGAGGAGGAGGAGGAGGAGGAGGAGGAGGAGGAGGAGGAGGGAGGAGGAGGAGGAGGAGGAGGAGGAGGAGGAGGAGGAGAGAGGAGGAGGAGGAGGAGGAGGAGGAAAAGGAAGAGGAGGAGGAGGAGGAGGAGGAAGGGAGGAGGAGCAGGAAGAGGAGAGGGGGATAGGCGGCTAGGCATCGCTCAGGCCTATCGACTGGCTCGGATTAGCAGCTCGGACGACGCCACATTATGGTGCAGAGGCGAGCTACACAAGCGGAGGCACCCCTCCTCCCCCATCCTTCTCCTCTTCCTCTTCTTCTTGGTGATGTTTTTCTTGTTATTAGTAATATTCCTACCGATCGGACCGCCCTATTGGTGATAAGGAAGTTGGGGGAAGAGTGAGGCGGTCGATGTGCGATGGTTCTGGGTCCTTTGGTGGTTGCTTCGACTTTCCTAGTGTCGCGCACATCTGCCCATCTATCGATCGACCTATAGATAAGTATTACATTACATATATGTATGTATGTATGTATGTATGTATGTATGTATGCATGCATGCATGCATGTATGTAGGTATGTATGTATGTATGTACGTATGTATGTATGTATATATGTATGTATGTATGTATGTATGTGTGTATGTATGTTTAAATATAAATGTGTGTATGTTTATATGAATGTATATATTTGTGTCTGCATGTACGATGTATGGCTATATGTATGTAAATATATGTCTGTATATATATATCTATATATATATATGTATGTATACCTCTCTATATATGAATAAATTGGTCGATGTGTCTGTATATATATATGTCAAAAAACAAAGAACTAACTGCCTATATATCTATGCATCGTGCGTTTCACGCACGCAGCGCGCGAAACGTTTTGCAATATGTTCGATTCGCATGCGTTTCGCGCGCAGCGCGCGAAAGACCTTGCAAGAGTTAGGACTCGCATGCGTTTGGCGCGCGAGACGCGCGAAACGCTTTGCAACATTTACGATTCGCATGCGTTCCGCGCCAATCCCAGGACAGCATCGGGAAAACCAGATCTGTATATCTACATATCTATATATATATATATATATATATATATCGATTCGTATATATATATATATACCTATCCATCTATCTATAGACCATCAGGACAACCATCAGGACAACCATCGGGACAACCATCGGGACAACCATCGGGACAAACATCGGGACAACGAACGGGACAACCATCGGGACAACCCTCGGGACAACAATCGGGACAACTATCGGGACAACCATCGGGACAACAATCGGGACAACCATCGGGACAACCATCAGGACAACCATCGGGACAAACATCGGGACAACCATCGGGACAACCATCAGGACAACCATCGGGACAACTATCGGGAAAACCATCGGGACAACAATCGGGACAACCATCGGGACAACCATCGGGACAACCACAACCGTCGGGACAACCATCGGGACAACCACCAGGACAACCACTGGGACAACCACAACCATCGGGACAACCGCCAGGACAACCGCCGGGACAACCGGAAGCCACGCCCGACGCTCCGGGGGAAGGGGGGGGCAGCCCTTTTGGCAATAGACGGCCCCTACCAGCGCAGGAACTCGCGAAACTCCGCCTCGCCCGCACGCACGACACGAACCGAAGCCGAAACCGATTTCCTGGTGGGGGTCACTTCCATTCCAACCCCCCAACCTCCGATTATTATTCGTAGTCTTATTCGTTTCCGTATTATCATTATTGTTCGTATGTTTATCATTGGTCGTGTCTAATTGTTATTGTTTGTCTTATTCGTGTTAGTATGTCTCCTTAATATCATTATTAGTGGCAGTAAGACTAGTATTAATAATATGCAAATTGGTATGATTAGTTGTCTTAGTATGATGATTCGGGTTCGTCTGGTTCATACGATTCTGAGCATTAGCAGCATTACTATGATTATGATTCGTTTTCTTCGTCTTGTTAATGTTATTAGACTAGATACATGTTTTCGTATGAGTATTCATGTAATTGATGATGTTATACGCACTATTCGTCGTAAGATTGGTCCTCTTCGTCTTAATAGTATTAACATCATTCGTCTTCAGATTAATATTCTTACGTTAGTGAATACGGGCATTGTTATTATCATGATTAGCATTCGTATCATTACTCGTGTGCTTTTTAGTAACTACTCGTAATACGATTATCCTTCTTATCCGCCATACTCTTAGTATTATTATTGTTTCTCCTCCTCCTGTTCCTCGGCCTACTCATCCTCATCCTCATCCTCATCATCAGCTTCATCGTCATCAGCATCATTCTCATCATCAGCATCAGCGTCAGCATCAGCATCATCATCAGCATCATTAGCATCACCGTCATCATCATC